GGGGGAACTCCAGCTACCGGTGATCGGGTAAAATTAGAGGAAGGGACTGGTATGTACGCAATCTCTGTAATTTAATTCAGTTTTTTATGAACGTTGGATACTTTATAAGTTAGCCGCACAGCTGCTTGTCAGGCAGGAATAGGCAGTGGTAATGTTAGCACTAGGCTAGCGAGAATGAACTAACGTTAGGCAGTTAGCTAGCTAGCCAATGTTAGCTAACTGCAGTGCAGAATTGTAGGCTTGTTCTGGGTGAAAAAGTGCAAAAGAAAGTTAATGGCCTTCGCAACTTTCTCACTGTTTAAAGTAAAGACCAGTGATTACTATGTCTGGGAAACCGTTACTATTAGTTTTAAATCACTGATGCACGGCGCTGACTGACATGCCAGTTGTATTTATCAGAGTGAAAACTGACACCGCAGCAGATTCCATATAATTTAAGACCAATGGCTTGCAATTTTACTTTTTAAAATGATGTTTTAGCTTGTATGGATATGGTTACTTTGCTATTGTATACGTTTACTCTATTAGTGCTAATGATCGTGAATTTGTAAACAGTCTCCTAAGTTCTAGGTTGCATAGGAATTAATAGTGTGCGTCAGCTGTATTTTTTCTTTTAAGAGTGCACGACATAAATATTCAGAAAAGTATGTTCCCCTCCATAATAATAAGCAATATATCGTGTTTAGACGTTAAATTACGTCTGTACTGGCATGCTCTCCCCTCCAAAACAGAAGCAGAGAAGCAGAGCCGGGTGAACGCCTTGCTTGAGAGGTTACATGCCAAGCACAATGCATCACGGCCATGGCAGGAGACCAGCAAGGTGGTGCGGCAGGCCATGGTAAGTGGGGGCAGGGGGGATGGGATAGTGGGATACGATACTGGGATATTTCACACCACAGTGGTGCAGTGTGCCAGAGAAACGCCCTGACACGCTGAACGGGTATCCTTTCCGTAGGAGAAGCGCGGAGTGATGAACCCTGCTGGACACCAGCTCCTCCTCAGCTGCCTGGAGACACTACAGAGAGCTTTGAAGGGTGAGAGAAAATGGAGGGAAGAGATGAAGAACTGGAGAATGGAGATTAATATGCCGTTCTCACCTTAAATTGAAAAGTCAGCCACAATAGCAAAAATGTATGCGGAATCTTAACTCGTTTCAGTTTCTTGTTTCTCATTCACTTTTGTCTTATTTTGGAGCATGTCGAATGAACGTCCCTGCACTTGCAAGCTGCATTTTGAGGACAACAATTGTCCCTGTGGACGGGTCATTTGTATTCAGAGACAGCACTCACATAGATGAAGGAAGAATTGAATTAACTCTGTGGCTTAGAGAAATTTGCAAGCTGCAGTGTAGAGGCTCTAACTAAATTTGCCTATGGAGAATCCATGGGTGCTATTCTAGCAGGTAAGCAGCATTAGCTTGCAATTTCTGACTCCAGTTCAAGGACAGTCATTCTGGGTTGTATTTCTGACCTCATGTCAGGCAGTAGACTGAATGCGAAGAAGACTGCTTCACTTTTACATGTAAAAGTTAACCGTTGTGTACCTGGCACGATCTAGCCGGGCTAACAGTTTCACTTTCTCTCTCTCCCAGTGTCCTCGCTGCCATCCATGACGGATCGGTTGGAGTCCATCGCTCGACAGAACAGGTACCTGCTGCCCTTGTGACCCACAGTGCGAAAAGTGAACGATAAAAATACTAGGTGAGATGAATTTACTTATTTTAAGACTTAAAACACTTATTTCTATCACAATTTTTCTTAGTAAGACAAAAAAATTGTCCTGATTTGAGGTAATTTTGACTAGCTTGCCAATCTTCATTTTTATTTATTATTTATCTTATTTTACTTTTAATCTGCCTCTCTGTAATCTGTCCAGTATGTGTGTTGATTGTCTCCCATCGGTGTTTCGGTTGTCTGGTGTGTTTGTATGTTTTTTTGTGTATCCTGGCTGCAAACCAATTTCCCAGTAAGGGACAATAAAGATACTTTGACTTTGACTTTGAATGGAATAAGAAAATTTCACTTGTCAAGCAAATAGTAACTTATTTTAAGTTACTATTTGCTTGATAAGTGAAAATTTTAAGTTACTATTTGCTTGACGAGTGAAAATCTCTTATTCCATCGGCAAGCTAGTCAAAATCACCTCAAATCAGGACAAATTTTTTGTCTTACTAAGAAAAATTGTGATAGAAATAAGTGTTTAAAGTCTTAAAATAAGTAAATTCATCTCCCCTTGTATTTTTATCTTTTACTTTTTGCAGTGCAGTGTCCGTCCCCACACTCACCCCTCCCCCACACTTCTGCACCTCTTACCTTTATTGCTAATTATTGCTAATGAAATCAGATCTGATTTAAGGTGAAACACAACTTTTGCTCAAAACCAATGGTTCTCTATGGTTATTTGAACTGTTTTTAAGCTACAGGTTGCTAAGCTAAATAAACTGTTTGCAGATCCAATAAATCAGTGTTGATTTCACCCCTTTGAGAAGGCATCAGTGGAAACGTCACTTGTTCTTGCTGTTGTACTGCTGTATTCAGATTTGACAAAATTCTTGAAATAAAATGACTGCATTGGAGTGTGTCGATTTTTTTAGCTCCCTGGTCGATAGGCAATGAGCTATTGGGAAGACGAGGCATCTGACATCGTCTTTGTCCATTAGCAATTTCTTCAAACATCATCTTCTCCAAGAGTACGAGCTGATAAACTTCAAATTTGGTATTGAGTTCCTTGGGACAATGGCTGCCAAATTGTTAACAGTTAAAATATTATTATTATTTTTTTAATGCATTTTTAATGAATTTTCTTATGCTTAGTTCCCACTGTCGTGCGCTCCTTTATGAACGCCACAATTGGCCATTCGTAGCTGTTTCGCGCATATTCGCGTCTTTGCATTGACTTTGAATGTAATCCGTCGTGTGAAAAATTTGTTTTGCGTCCGGTGTGAAAGCAGCTTAAAATTTCAGGTTTGGATACGAGGTGATGCGTTGATCACGATTGACAATTAATCGTGTTGATCATAGGAAATTTTTGAACCGTCCAAAACTTTTCTACGATCAGCACGATTGCCACAACTGACCTCAAGATCTGATAAGATCTGATAGGCTCACCACGATTACTACATGATTAAGACCACGATTTCAATCGTGCCGCGAATCGTGACATTGGGAACCTAGCATTAGTTTGTTTCTTCTGAGAGCTTTAAAAATCTCTGGCACTATTGGCCAAATTCAGATCGATTGGTATTGAGCTTCCTTTCTTTGCTAGCAAGCTGCAGGGCCCTTGGGCCTATTTCTTTTTTAATCGTTCTCCATCTCTCATTACTCCGATAGGCTGAGTTCTCACCTGAGCCACTCGGGCACAGAGTGTTACATCACCACTGACATGTTCTATGTGGAGGTGCAGCTGGACACTGGGGGTCAGCTGGTGGACGTGAAGGTGGCGCATCAGGGGGAGAACCCAGCGGTGAGTCCCGAGACTCGCTCAGGGATGGAGAAAAGCATGGGGAAGGGGCTGTGTAATTACTGTAAACCCATGTGCTGTGATCTTTAAATGTCATCGCTGTCACAGGGAAACCTTGTTTCTCTGAAACGGTACCTTTATGGAAGGACCGGTTTCATGGACAGATTTCATAACCATTAGAGTTTGTCTGCACTCCAAGGTTTTCTTACATTAAGGGGTCTTCATGATAAAGTGTAGAAATAACCATAATAATGTAAAAAACTAACAAATAAACATACTCAACATGATTTTAACCTCATAAAATGTAGTATTTTGATAGAAATTTACATGGTTGCCATGGAAATGGCACTTTAATGACTAAATCAGAAAATATTTTGTGGCACTGATATTTCAATAACCCATGGTCAGATTTCACTCGAATTAGTCTCTTATGAAAGGTTTAAGATAGTTCTATGAAATGACATAGGATTTTTTTGTTTGGAACATTTATGAATATTTAATGAGCTCTGTTGTGTAACAATAACGAAAATCAGTATCATCAACTTGCTTCATTTTCAAAATTAAGCCCCTAGGGGTGCACCTATCTAGAAAATCCTATGTCATTTCATAGATCTCCAACAGATACAACTTCAGTCAAATTTCAAGTCAATCAGATGAATATTAATGATTTTATGAATGCCACAAGGTTGAAAATCAGTCAAAATTGTGATTTCCGGTAATTTGCATTTAAAGTCACAAGTAACAGTTGAGGCAGAGGAAAAACATAGATTCTTGGTGTTTACTGGCATCTCACTGCATTCTTTTATTTATTTTATGTGAAAATCAAATATATTGAAATTTTCGGAAAAAATTGATTAATTTTTACCCTGAAGACCCCTTAATGGCAATGTGTTCAGGTTGGAGCTTTGAATGAAGAGAGGGAGATGGAGTACTGAGGAAGTGTAGTTTTTTGTAGACCTCCTAATTATGTTTTCCCCCCAATCAAAAAAAAAAAAAAAAAAAATAATAACTGTGGTCCCTCTCTCTCTTTCTTTCTCTCTTTCTCTCTTTTTTTTTTTTTCTTTTTCTCTCTCTGATGTGACAGAGCTGTCCAGAGTTGGTTCACCATCTCAGGTAGGGACTTGCGAAAGTACATCTCTTTAGAACGACCCTGATTTTTCATTTATCTATTTATATTCTTGTGATGTGGTGAAGTATGTGCTGCTCTATTGGTCATTTGCTTCGGTTTATATGCAGCCAGATGTTTTTCTCCTTGACACAGAGAGAAGAACTTTGAGGAGTTCTCCAAACATCTCAAGGGTTTGGTTAACTTGCATAAGCTACCTGGAGACCAGTAAGTGTCAGAATCTCTCGCATCTGTACAATAATTTGTGTGCGCAAGGGAAATTTACTCCATATGGCCAAAATTATGCAGTCACCACGCAACTTTCCCTTGACCCAAGTGATATTTTGTATTGAGGTCAAGAAAATGTGGAGTGGAAAGGTAAAAGGTTTTTGGTTTAAGAGGATTTGAATGCATCCTCGGATTTTCTGATAAATAAGCCTGTGGCTTAGAGGCTAGGGTGTTTGGCTTGGACTCTAAAGGTTAAGGATTCAAGCCCCTGTGTAGCCACAACATAAGCTTTTAGCCCTTAATTGCACATTTCTCCGGGTGTGTGTCAAATAATGTGCTATTGTATTGTTTCCAATATAATACAGGCCAAAAATAATTTGGAAATCACTGCTTTGTGTTTTGATTTTTAATTTAACGCACCATCCCAACTTTTTTGGATTTGGGGTTGTGCTGTACTCTGTCACTTTTGGTAAATGTGGCAGGTAACTAATGCAATGTAACATTTTAATTGCATATTTGTGATCTTGTACCTTTTGTATCCAAGGTGGATAAATCATTGAATTCACCAATAACTGAAGTCAATAACTTTTATATTATATGACCTTTCTTGGATAATATAAAATTAGAGAAGGGTGACAACCTGTAACGTAAAGCTCCTCTCAGGGACGAAGCGACACGAAATACGGACACTGTCAGGAGCTCCTGCAGGGAAGCCTAATTTATTTTCAGCTCGAGGGCGTCAGATTGTTATATTCACCTCTTGCGCACTTTCCCGCGGTGAATATCACTGTTTACAGTGATTGGCGGAGTTTGTCTCGACCAATCAGGAGAGGGCGAATCCTTGCGTCATATAATAAAGCAGTTTATTTATGATGTGCTTTTTCTTTCCTCCGTCATATTGGGACAGTAAGCTGAAAACTAAGATGTACCTGGCACTGCAGTCTCTGGAGCTGGACCTGACCAAGATGATGCACATGTTCAGGTACGCCTGCTGTCAAACATCCGCCATTTTGTTTCTGTGTTTGTCTCTGGCTTTTTATCTGTATTGTCTCTCTCACTATACCTGTTCTCAGTGTCAGTCTTTGATAGGCATTGGACTGAAGATGTCAGAATGACATTTTAGCTGATCGCTTGTATGATGTCAAAATGCATTTTGAATTAAAAATAGCCATAAATTTCACTTTAATAGTTAAAAAAAATGAATAGATTAAAAACAATTCATTTCTAGAGTTACACAAAAAAATGAATGAGTTTATCTCACTTTGAGTTACAATTTACTCAGAAAAACTGAGTTTAATATTTGTTCTTAGTATATTTTGCCCTATAAATAGTTAAACAAAATAAGTTCTGAATGTTGGATTGATTATTGTGCTCCTCATAGTTATGTATGTGTGTTTGGGTGTGTGTTCCAGGTTGGCCACAAATGCAAACACAGTGGAGACCATTCTGCATGGCAGCGTGGGCCTGTTGACCCCTCGGAGTGGAGGTAATGCCCTCCAAACCTCACCTCCTGAAACAGAGTTAAACCCTCATGTCCTGCATGCATGGCAACTAAACTCATTCGGCCATTGCAGCCCAAAACCACTTCAAGCACATTTCACCTGAAGTACTCTCTCTACCGAACTGACAATCATACCAAAAATCCCAATTTGCCAGCGCACATTATTGTGTATATTGATATATAGCTTTATTACTTTATTATAATAATATACTCTGATTTAAATGTGACCAATATTGAATCTGCGTCCACTGAAAGAATGAAGCGTTGAAGTCTTGCATGGCACAGACATATCTTTTTCTCTCTGTCTCTCTTGCTTTCAATTCAGTTTTAAATTTAATTGCTTAATTGGCCTGGTATACTTTAAAATACATGTTGCTAAAGCACCGTAGAATAAAAATAATTAGCATCAATAAAGTAATGAATAAATCTGAATCATACATGCATATGACTGATTCTATCCTCCCCTTGCAGGCCACCTCATGTCCCTACAGTGTTATGTGTCTCCGTACGACGTGTTCGAGGAGGGAACAGGAGCACTGCTCAACTTCACTGATTCTACTGGTGTGTTTGTGGCTCGCTTTGTAAAATATGTACACATTCTCCAAAGGTCCCTCTGTGTCCTTATATTATTGTTTTCTTGCAGTCCCTCGCTCTCTGGGTGTCAGTGTGTCTGTCACCATAGAAGGAACGTCCTCTGTCTTCAAACTCCCGATCGCTCCGTTGATCACCGGCTCTCATCCAGTGGACAACAAAGGGTATTGGATTAAATTACTCTAGTGTCCCTCTAGTGGCGAACTTGTGTTTTGCAGTTGGCTCCGGGATTATTGACACAACTGACTGGAAATGCATTAAAAATACAATTATTATTTTTTTATGGAGATGAACTCAAAATGTAAGAAATAAGATGTTTTATTATTGTGTCAGTGCAACAAACCAAAATTATGTATTTAATAAAAAATTTATATCCTCCAAATCAATTATTCACCATTTATGGTGCCCCTGGCTTATATTTTTAGTGCTTGTGGTGCCATTTCAGCAGTGTTTTTTCTCTCTGTCCTCGTCTCTCTCTCTCAGAACCCCATCCTTCTCCTCTGTGACAAACTCAAACTGTGTGGACCTGCCAGCCTGTTTCTTCCTCAAAATGAACAGACCCACTCCTTTCTCCCTCTCCTTCATACAGAAGATGGGAAACACCACAGGTCAGGGGGTTATTGGGTTGCAGGAAGCTAAAGAGTCAGGAACTGCTATAGCTGGGATTTCCCTCATGGGTAAATGGTCGTAAAGGTGGCTTTGATTCTTTGCTAGACGGTCACAAATCCTGCAAATACCTGTTGATGTGACCTTCTAGAAATCCTATGTCTGAAGGGGGGGTATGGCTATGGTTTGGTTTTCACAGGCTGTTATTGGTTAAGCAACTTGGTTTTCCAAGTTGCCAGTGCATTTAGCAAGCGTGTTGGTAGCTTTCAGAAATTCTTGATGCATCATCATTAACTTTTAGAAATAAGTGAAGTGCATTCATCATATTGATAACTGACTTGGCAAACATCACTGTAATTTTGTATTCTTTTTTCCTGACCTATCTGACACAAGTTGACTGACATTTGCGTTTTGTTTTGCGACTGCAGAAATATCAGTTGACCTACTGCAGAGGAGACTGGGGTTCAATGAGCCTTATTACATATTTTGCCTATTTTAAGCAACTCTGACATAATTTATTGATAGCAAATATGTGTTATGGCTCATTGGTGCCCATGGCTCATTGGACCTCAGTCTCTCCCACCATGTTTTAGAGTGTAATGGAGCTCTGTGCTGTTCTCTCCTCAGGTATCCCTGTGTTTGAGAGCGGACTAACGCTAGCACCGCTGTACGAGCTGATCGTGCAGAACCAGCTGCAGGAGGAGGGTGGGGGGGCCCCGCTCCCCCACACGCAGGACATGCGCTTCTACGCGGTGAGAGCCCTGCCCACATTCTTCTTCAGGGGCCTCGTTTAGAGACGTGGCGTACGCTCAGAATCTCCCCAGGGAACATTCGTGGCTCAGAACATAATAACTTAACGTGGAAACTTTCGGTAAATCTTCGCATGCTCTGCCTTGTACGTGCGCGGAATTCTGGAGAACGAGAATTAATGACATGGTTAGTTAGGGCCATCGCTGAGCGCACTCCAGCTGCGATTGGATGGCTTTATCAGGCTGACGAGTCGATACAGTGGGTTTCCTCTCTCTGCGGGTGAACTGGCCTTATAAAAATTCTATGTGCAGCTGTTTTTGGTTTTCTGACTGTAATCTGCGCAATTGACTGAGCTAATATTGCAATTAGGGTGCCTTGTGTGAATGAAGTGACTTATCAATCAAAATCAGTTTCATTTTATAAAAGTACAAATCATCTGTGATGCCAACATTTGTGTGATTGATTTGTTTGAGTAGTGAGCTGGCTGTACCCACGATTCCTTCATTCTGAGACACAGCAGCGTTGAAATAAACTTGAGGCAGGAACAGTGCCTGATGACTGGCTACTTTGTTTGGCCACTAATTACGACCCCAAATCAGAAAAAGGTGGGATGATGAATTAAAACTGAAAATAGTGATTAGTAAATTATCTTTGACCTGTTGTGTTCAAAACAATACTACGGCACATTATTTGATGTTTCACCACTGGAATTTTTATAGATTTTTTTGCTAAATAAACACTTATTTCAGTTTTGATTCTTGTATATAAACTAAACAGTTTAGATAGTTTAGCATTCACAACTCTATTGCCATTCCTTTTCACAACACTTAATAAACATTTAGGACTGAAAAAACAAAGTTCATGAGTGTTTTCTGACTTCTCCTAAACCAAAGTCATCCATCATTGGCCCAGAATCAAAGTCCGTTTCATCCCCAGACACACATTTAACAAGGATGAAACTCTCAGCTGAGGGAATGAAAGAGTTGTCATCCTTGATTCCAGGAATTGTAGGAGCATTTTCAAAAGGTCTGTTTTGGTCTGCTGCATGTTCTTGGATGACATCTGTACAAACGGAGAGTAATAATGCCTCTCACACTTGTGGGAACCCACTCACTTAGGTCTTTTGGTGTCATGATATGGTTTTCTGTCATAATTTGCAGGCTTTTCCTAGCTGCCTCTTGCTTTATTGTGCCCCCTATATACTACTGCACGGGCTCTTGCTGTGGGAAGTGGCCAAAAATTTCACTTGGCATCGAAATCAAAATTGTGGTGATGGACAAAATATATCTTATAACAATCGTTTTTCAAGTTAAGGATGATTCCAACTGGAAGACCGGGTTTAACTTCCACCAACTCGCCGTAGTCTCAAAAAGTGCTTAATGGTTATGTGCTGCATACAGCACTAATAAGGATTCACTGTTGCCATCTTTTGTGCAAGGAAATCAACAAAAATGGCTACTCATCAGTATCTCTATTGGGCCATTTTGTTCTTGTTGTGATACAGAGACTGAAGGCATGCTTGTTCCCAGTGGAATTTCGTGTGATGGCAGTACTTACGAGCTTTCTAATGATATAGTTTTTATTCAAACCTGAACCGTCTGGTCCGCACTGACAGAACATCTGTTTTTTCCCCTTTTCTTCTCTGCCCCAGTCCCTGCCTGGCCAGCAGCACTGTTACTTCCTGAACCGTGACGCCCCCGTGCAGGATGGACGGTGCCTGCAGGGGGCGCTCGTTTCAAAGATCCCTTTCCGGCACCCGGCTCAGGTGCCAGCGCTGCTGGACGTCATCCGACACCAGGCCGCGTACAACACGCTTATAGGGAGCTGTGTC